TCTGGAGACCTCGGCGTTTGTAAGTCTACTAAGCTCAAAATATCTAACGAGCCGGCAGGCGGCCTTTTAGTCAACGAACTAATGCAAACCAGCCGACCGGAGATATATGCTGTTGGTGATTGTGCCCGCGCTGACTGGCTCCATTCTCCACACTGGTTTCAGATGCGCCTTTGGACGCAGGCTAGACAAATGGGCTTTCAGGTATCCCAATAAAGGATTATATCACTTTTAAGTTGTTAATTTTAAGATAGAAAGTTTGTAATTAGGTTTTCAAGTCTATCAATAGCTCTTATATAAGAGCTTTATTTACCATATTTCGCTTAGACTAATGACGAACTAGAAAACCTGCTTAAACGAGGCTAAGTAGTATAGTGCTGCACTATCACGATCCGAGTCCTTCAGGGGAAACTGATGAAACCTAGGCGAGATCGAAACCCACTCCAGCCCGAATAAAAATTCCTTTTGGGGAGCATGGCTATGTAAAATTAAATGGGAACCTTAGGCCTACTCATATCATTGTGGAAAAATTTAACTACCAATCTTTCCTCACCTAAACCGAAATGGGGTGAATACATCTCTTATATAAGATTTACTGGTAGTCTCGAAAAAAGATTAACTACCGCTTTCTTCCATTCTACCTACCTCCTTTTTGCGGGTTTTAAGATTCTCTTTCTAGATCAGGATGTGGCTTTTTCTATATGGAGGAGACCCATCCATAAGAGATTATTAGAGCACAAAACCTCCTGTAAATGTCTGTGTCGAAAAATCCGAATTTGCTAAGCACTTGGCCAATGCAGGAGATGCAGGAGACTGGTACAAAGCACAGCGTTCAGTTCACGTAAGATTAGTTCGTCTCTAGAAATTAATACAATAAATATCCAACATCTTGAATAGGAGGAACGAATATAGGAAATTGGGTGCGAAATATTTTTGGCTTACCCTGGGGCTCATGATAAATACTATAGCAGAAGACTTCGGACAAGGTACGTCTAATTAAGACGCCTTGAGAACACGACCAAGTTGGTGAAACAAGGCCAAACTAACACGACATAAAGTCAGATCTCTTTAAGTATATCGTTCATTCCCAAGTTGCAATTGGTGTATGTGGTAGCTACGAAGGGTGACGAGCAGGAAACTGGCAGATAAAACGGTGAAGTGGAGTTGTACAACAGCGCACTAAGGGCTCTGATAGGATGCTAGCAAGAAACCTAATGTGGAAACGTGGCGTTGACTTGATATCGGTCCTGTGGCAAAGTCTGCCGGGGTCGTTACATTGTTTGTTTTGGACATAAACGAGGACCTTATTCACATCAGCTGTTTCGAATCAAGTCAGAACAAGATATATTATAAATCGTCATAGCTTATCTGTTGATCTTTAACTTAATATTCCCAAAATGTATATGCGTTCTTTCTTTGTACGAGAAATTATAAATTTTGTGCATTTGTCATCTTTAATTGGATTTATATAGTCGGCAAATTGGTCTTTTTAATTGAAGAAATGTTGACTTATTAAGATTGTATTTGGCTCTGAATCAACTGTGAAACTCTTCCCTCATGAGACAATGAAATTAATGTAATTTAATATGCGATAGCACACGTTACTTTATTAGAATTGTTACATATTTACCCAACATATCTGATCAGTATTTAAGTGGCTGTTATTCCATCATATCTCTATCCCTAAATTTCAAAGTGCTTAGTTCCTGGGCAATTGACTGTTTTTGCTTCCATTATTTTTTATTATCCCTATTTATGTCACTAGCTTTCTTGAAAATTTTGGTTTGAGGCTTTAGCAGGTACATGCAGATTTATTATATTTTTTTATTAGATTACGTTTTTTCATATATTTTCCTTAGTTGTACTATCTTTGTGGGTTTACTCAACAGAATTTTT